CTTTCATCTCATCTGAAATCCCTTCACTCAGTGTTCATCTCTGGGAGCTTCTTAATGTCTTCCTCATTTCTAGAGGAATGTTTTGCTAGAGAATCATATTTCATACAGTGTGCTTGCTTTCATTTCACATTGCATATATTGACCCAGTTTCTTCTGACCTCTGTGTGTGTGTGTGTGTGTGTATGTGTGTGTGTGTGTGTGTGTGTGTGTGTGTGTGTGTGTGTGTGTGTAAAACATGCATTTGGAGATGCATTTGTCCTACCATGTGTGTGGAGATTAGAGGACACTTTTGCCAGTCCTTACCTTCCCCCTTGTTTGAAGCAAGGGCTAAGACTTGACAGCACAGGGATTTCAGATGAGGTGACCCAGGTTATCTGGCCCACAAGCCCCCAGGCATTTTTCTATCTCCATTGCCTTTCCCGCTTCTAGGGAGTTCTGATATTACAGGTGTGTGCTACTGTGTCCAGCCTTCACATGGACTCTGGGAATTCACACGGAGGTCCTCACCTCACACTCTGAAAGGCAGATGTTCTAACCACTGACCTATCTCCCAGGTCCCCACCCAGGCTTTTTATGAGAACCCAGTGGCCTTGGAAAGTATGAGAAAGGTATCTTCCTGACAGCATCGCTGTGGCAATAAATTGCTTTATTCTATTTCATGAGCAGAACATTTTTCTGTAATTTAAGCTGTAGCATCATCTTGGGCCCACCAGTCAGAATTCAAAGAAAAGGTGCCGTGGTGAGTGCAGATATGAGGTCAGCAAAGCAGGAGGCACAGCAGACATTCAAACCAGAAAGCCAAGAGCATCCTCCAGGCTCTGATTTCTAAAAAGCCTAATGCCAGGCTCCATGGCCCACCTGAGCCAGAGCCTTTGGGTCCCGGCCAGTCCTGTCAGGGCAGGGCCTGCTATGACCTCACGAGGAGCGATTGTGAGGGCTCCAGCCAGCAGATATTATGCTGTGGCCCGGCCTGGATTTCTTTGGGTGTGTTGAGAGGAGCTGTGGAGTGGTGCCCTGTGTGATTTTACTGTTATCAATCGAGGTTGTGTGTGAATTTTGCATTGATTGTTTGGTTTGTGTGTGTGTCTGGGTTTCACTGTGCATGTGTGTCTAGACGTGTGTGTGTGTGTGTGTGTGTGTGTGTGTGTGTGTGTGTGTGTGTGTGTGTAGGTTTGCTTGTGTGTGTGTGCTTGTGTTTTTATGTGTATGTGTGTCTAGATGTGTGTGTGTATAGGTTTGCTTGTGTGTGTGACTTGTATGTGTGTGTGAGTGTTATATGTATGTGTTATTGTGTTTAAGTTCACTTGTGTGCAAGTACCTGTTTGAGTGTGTGCACCTGTGTGTTTTCATGTGTGAGTAGGTTTACCTGTGGGTGAGTGTGAGTGCACTTGTGTGTGTGTGTGAGTAGGTATACCTGTGGGTGAGTGTGAGTGCACTTGTGTGTGTGTGTGTGATTAGGTATACCTGTGGGTGAGTGTGGATGCACTTGCGTGTGTGTGTGTGTGTGTGTGTGTGTGTGTGTGTGTGTGTGTGTGTGTAGGTATACCTGTGGGTGAGTGTGGGTGCACTTGTGTGTGTGTGTGTGAGTAGGCATACCTGTGGGTGAGTGTGAGTGCACCTGTGTGTGTGTGTTTGCGCGTGCATACGTGCACGCGTGAGTGTTTTGTGTCCTATAGGGGCACGTGTGGGTAGGTGTGGGAACACCTGTGTGTGGGAGAGCATTGACGCCCAGAGTCAACTTGACCGTTGGACCTGAGGTAGGTCACCTGCCTTGTGTTTTGAGACTGCCTCTCTCACTGAACTGGAGCTGGTCAAGTGTCTAGGCTGGCTGGCCAGTGTTCCCAGGGATCTGCTGCGCTGACACTGCAATCAGATGAAAACAGCACTTCCTGATTCGTTTATGCTAGGTTTCTAGAGATGGAATGAGGCCCTCCTGTTTTGCATGGGCAGCAATTTAACTACTAAACTATCTCCCCAGCCTGTGGCTATTTGAGGTGTTTTGGGTTTGGGTTTTTTGTTTGTTTGTTTTGTTTTGTTTTGTTTTTCCTGAGAGACGGTTTCTCTGTGTAGCCCTGGCTGTCCTGGAACTCACTCTGTAGACCAGGCTGGCCTCAAACCCTGAGGTCCACCTGCCTCTGCCTCTGGAGTGCTGGGACTAAAGGTATGTGTCACCGTAGCTCGGTGTTTGAGTTTTACTTTTGATGTTTTGGCTTTTCTGGCTTCTTGGTTTGGGCTGGTTTCAGGTTTGTTAGTTTTGGTTTGAAATTTTCTTTGTGTTTTTATTATTTTTACATTTTGGGGTATATGTGTGACCTTTGGTTTTCTGATTTTGTTTTGCTTTTCTAGGTTTTCTTATTGTATTTTTGATTGTTTGGGGTTTTCGATTTTTACTTATTTCTTTTTTTAAGATACAGTACTTTTTGAGAATTTCATATATTCATAGAATATACTTTGATTATATTCACTGACCACTCTTCCCCAACTTCTCCTAGATCTCCCTACCTCTACTCCAACTCCCAATTCCTCTCTCTCTCTCTCTCAAAAGCCCATTGATCCCAATTTGGGCTCATATGTTCATGGGTGTGGGGGTATCCATTGCAGTGTGGTTGGCCTATCCGGAGCCACATCCTTTTTTTTTTTCTATTACTACATTTATTTATTCTTCATTCATTGTGGGGGGCAGATACAATGTGGTATCAGAGGATGACTTGTTGGATCTGCTTCTTTCTTTCTACCTTGTGGCTCTTAGGAATCAAACACAGATAGATCATTAAGCTTGGTAGCAAGTGTCATTACCCACTGAGACATCTTGAAAGCCTATGGTTCTTGGTTTTTAATTATTAGGTAAAAAGATAAATAGCAATGTTCTAATGAAAATGAAGTTTGGTGTGCTGGTTTAGAAAGCATCAAGGGATTTACTGGGATTTGGTTTCCTTTTGGAGCCGAGTTCTGGCTACTTTGAGGCTCTTTGCAGTCGGTTTGGTTTCCTTTGTCAGAAAAGTATTTGGTCCATTTCCTCTGCGTTGGAGAAATGCTTCTGCTCGACATTAGGGGAATGCTGCAAGCTGCAGAAATATGAAGTATGAATTCAGCTGACAATGACAACATTCTAATACCTGGAAGAGCAGGCAGGAGCCACGTTCTTGAGGAGAAATGACTCTCCCTTCCCCAGAAACCACCAACTGTCAGTGGCTCCTATGGGCAGTCATGCTGGACTGCTTACTGCTTGGTTTTGGGCAGGTCTTGTGCAGGCAGCCACAGCTGCAGCCAGCTCGTGAGTGCAGTGGTCCTGTCATGCCAAGAAGATGATCATTTGCTCTGGTCCTTCCCACCCTCTGGTTCTTACAATCTCTCTGCCCCCTTTTCCATGACGGTCCCTGAGCCTTAGAGGAGGAAGGGTATGATGTGGACATCCCATTTGTGTCTGAGCACTCCATTGACTCTCTCCATTCTTTGACAAGTTGTCAATTTCTATGTAAACATTTGCACAAATGAATTTCTCTGATGAGATCTGAGAGTTGCACTAATAAATCCAAAGATTTGATGCAAGGATCCACATATGAATGGGAACATGAGAACATGCCAGCTTGCCTTTCTGGGTCTGGGTCACCTCACTTAGTGTAATGTTTCCCAGTTCCATCCATTTACTTAGAAATTTCATAATTTCAGTTGTCTTTGTAGCTGAATAAAATTCCATTTTGTATGGGTACCACATTTTCATTAGCCCTTCTTCAGTTGATGGATCTAGGCTGTTTACATATCTCAGCTATTGTGAATAGAGCAGCACTGAACGTGGGTTTGTAAGTGTCTCTGCAGCAGGAAATAGAGTCCCTTGAGTATATACCCAGGAGTGGTATAGCTGGACCACGTGATAGGTCTATTGCTAGTTTTCTGAGGAACAGCCACACTGATTTCTACAGTGGGTGAACCAGTTTGCACTCCCATCCACAGTGCGTGAGGGTCTCCATCCCCCACACTCACACCAGCATCCACAGTGCATGAGGGTCTCCATCCCCCACACTCACACCAGCTACCACAGTGCATGAGTGTCTCCATCCGGCACACATATACCAGCATCCACAGTGCATGAGGGTTTTCATCTGCCACATCCACACCAGCATCCACAGTGCATGAGAGTCTCCATCCCCCCACACTCACACCAGCATCCACAGTGCATGAGGTTCTCCATCCCCCACATCCACACCAGCATCCACAGTGCATGAGGGTTTCCATCCGCCACATCCACATCAGCATTTGTTGCCTTTTATTAGTCTTTGCCATTCTGACTAGAGTAAAACAAAATCTCAAAAAAGTTTTAATTTGCCTTTCCCTGATGGCCGAGGATGGTGAACATTAATACAAATACAAACATATATACATACACACACACACACACACACACACACACACACACACACATATATATATATATATGCAAACACATATGTGTATATATATATATATTTATATATATATTTCTTAAGCCATTTGTGTGTCTTCTGAGAAAACCCTTTTCAGTACCCTCTCCAAATTATTCATTTAATTGTTTCTTACTGTTTATTATTTTTTAAGTGACTTGTATAATCTAGAAGCTGTTGTGGGCTTTGTTATATTTTGTTTTGATTTCTAGGTTTTTCCTTTTTAATGTATTTTGTTTGTTTGGAGTTTTGCTTGCTTTTGTTTCATTTGACATTGCTTGGATCTTCTAATTTTTAAATTTCTTCATCCTTTCTGTATTTCTTTGTATGTTTTTCTTCTTAAGCAATCAACGGTCTTCATTCTCAGTGTTGCTGAGCTCTGGTCCTCCTCCCTAGTGGCCTGCAGCTAGGTTTTTTTTTATTTGGATTCTTTTGGTTTTGTGTGTGTGTGATTTTGGTTTTCTGGGTTTTTGTTGTTGTGGTTGTTGTTAGTCGTTTGATAGAATTTCAGGCTTTCTATTTTTTTTCACTGTTTTCTTTTTCATTTTGAATTTCTTCTTTCTTCTTTTTTCTTTCTCTTAGGTAGCATTTATACTTTGTTACCAAAAATGAGCTCTAACAGTAATGAAGAGGATGCCACAGACCTTGGATCTCCATCCAGCCCCCCGGAAAAAGAAAACTTCTACTCGCAGTATGTGATGTTGAGGACCATTGGCCGTGGAGGCTTTGCTGAAGTCAAACTGGCCTACCACCGCTTCACCAGCACCCTGGTGGCTGTCAAAGTACTTGAAAAAGAGAATAAGTGGTGCTTACCGGTCAATCCTGAGGTAAATATTATGAAGATGATCAACCACCCCAACATCATCTCACTTGTCCAAGTGATTGAGTCTGAGAAGAAAATATACCTGATCATGGAGGTGTTCGCGGGAAAACAACTATATCAATACGTTGGAAAGGCTGGCCACCTGGAGGAAGACCGTGCCCGGGGGATCTTCAGGCAAATCCTAAGTGCCGTGAGTTACTGCCATGAACATGGAATAATTCATCGGGACCTGAAACCGGACAACATCATGGTGGATAGGAAGGGAAATGTCAAAATCATCGACTTTGGCCTTGGCGCCCAAGTTAGGCCTGGAGAAAAACTCAGCTTTTACTGTGGGGCTTTGAAATTTGCTGCCCCTGAATTTCTCCTTAGAAGACTTTATGACGGCCCCAAGGTCGACATATGGACGTTAGGAGTGGTTCTATATTTCATGGTAGTCGGGAAAGTCCCATTTGATGCTGTCACCCTACCAGAGCTCGGACATCAGATTGTGAATGCAAATTATACTGTCCCCTTGGGCATGTCACCAGAGCTCCAGGACCTGCTTAGCCTCTTAATGACAGTCGACCCCAGTCTTAGGCCAACAGTGGATGAAGTGAAAAGACATCCCTGGCTTAGGGAAGACATGGAGGCTTCACCAAATGACTGTGAAGAAATGGTCCCTGGCTTGCCTGACCCTGCTATTGTGAAAGCCATGGAACACATTGGGTTCCAAGCCCGGGACATCAAAGAATCATTACACAAGAGAAAATTCAACCAGACAATGGCATTTTATTGCTTACTAAAAGGGCAGGCTCTCCAGTTTCCTACCTGCACAACCTTGGCTCAACCTGTGAATCCAGGGGTGGCACCATTCCCTTCCCTAGAGGATCCTGTTGCTTTCCCTCTACCACCCAGGAGGAGGAGGAGTGAGCCTGCCCTTGGCACATTGCTCAGAGGGCCATCCACTAGTGGTCAGGTGTCTGCCTGTGGCCAGTGGCCAGGTCAAAGAGGAGACAGAAGGGCCACCATTCCTCTCCACACGCCACTCCCTCTCCACACGCCACTCCAGAGAACATTCACTTCAGACCAAGACCACCAACGCTCCAAGAGTGGTCCCTGCATTTGCTCAATGAGTACCAGCAGTGATAATACAGAAGACATCTTATGCTCCCACAGAGACTCAGCAAAGGACAAGTCCACCCGCAGCCATGGCCAGCCTCGAGGCTTGAAGGCATGGGCAAGGAGGATAGGAAATGCCTTCATGAGACTCTTTTGCTGCTGTCCATCAAGGAAGAAACCTCGCTGGGGGCAGAACAGAATCTTGCCTCAGAAATGAGGCACAAGGAGGGCGTCCGGAGAACAAGCAGCAGGCCTGGCCCAGGTACCTTTCTGTGTTGGAATGAGTGTTTTACTCATGTCTGTGTCAATGGACAGATCATAACTATGTGTATTTATGGGATAGAATGCATTGGGAAGCTAGATGTAGATACCATGGGATGGTTCAATGGAACCTATCAACATATCTAGCATCCCAGAAGACAAATCTCACTGTATCCTACACATGGGAAATCTAAAAATGTTGGACTAGAAGTCAATGGCAGAAGGGTGTTGACCATGTTAAGAGAAGGGAGGGGGAGGAGGAGGTGCTAAGGGAGGAGAAAAGTGGTATGAGGTGGGAGCTAGGTGATGAGGGACAGAGGTGCCTGGGAGCAGAGGTTTAGACAGGAGGAAGCAGCTTGGAGAGCAGGGCAGAGCAGGGTGACCACAGTTGGAAAGACGCCCTGTATAGCTGCAGTCACAAGATTCTCATTCACGTGTGTTGTTGTATTTTAAGAGTTTTTCAGAGGATGCAGAACATCACAAATCTGCAGCCGTGGTATTGGAGAGGACTCACATATGGGAGGAGACCTGTAGACGGAACCATGCACAAAGCCCATGATGCCCTGTGCCTTGCTCAGAGTTCCAGCCAGGAAGAAGGGAGGAAATGATGGAATCCTGGGCCGCAGGAATTCTGCAAGGATCCTGCCCCTCAAAGGCATCCATAATCAGGGGGCAGGAGCCGAAAACGAGTCCAAAGTCTACCCAGGTCACATGAGACCCCTCTTCTCCCGACACTTCCCTGCCTCATTCTTAGTAGCAGACTAACAGTAACAGATTTCTCAGGGTCCAAACTGACAGCTCCGTTCTCCCTGACACATTTCTCGGGGCCCAAACTGACAGTTATGTTCACTATGACAGATTTCCCAGGGCCCAAACTGACAGCTACATTCTTCCTGACAAATTTTTTGGGCCCAAACTGACAGTTTTCTCAGGGCCTAGACTGTCTGTCTCCTCCTCATCGGATATTGTAGAGATATCTGACAGGGAATTGGTGGGGGTGATGAAAAGATTACCCATCTTTTCAACGGGATGAAAATTTGTATCAGACCCTTATGTCCTGTGCTTATGGGGGCTGTTTGTGGTTTTTTTTAGGCCATGACCTTATGCCCACATGGTGTCTCCGGATGAGGGATGGCAATCGGGAGCCGAGTCTTGGTTCCACCTCCTTGGAGGTCAACCCTTATGTGGAAGTGCCGGGAAAATCGAAATGAAAAAAAAAATGTGCCTTCCTAACAGAATGGACAGACAAACATGAAAGACAACACAGAAGAAGGAAAGAAGTGGGGGCCCCAATGCTCACCTGCCAAAGGGACGGAAAGAACACAACACTTCTCAACGAAACACACTGTTTGTGTTTCTTGGGGCCGCTCTCAAGCACGGCCTGGCAAGTAAAGAGAGGGAGCCAATCAGAACCTGCACTGGGAGAAACAAAGTAACAGAAGCCCCACATTGGGTGCCAGTCATTGCTTGGATTCTAGCAGCTCCCACGGGGGAAGTGGTGATGAGGCATGTCATCAAGGACACAGACACAGACACAGGGTGTCTGTGGAAAGCAAATAATGAACTCCTTTATTTAATAACAGGGTAGCCCTTCTATACCCTCCTCCCAGTGCCCAATGGGTGTGGTCGTCCCTCATTGGCTGGGCACAATCAGGAATTCTGACAGCAATTGTTGCTAGGTCCTCAGACAGACTCAGCACGATCAGGAACTCTGACAGTGACTAGGAACTCTGACAGCTCCTGTTGCTAGGCCCTCAGGCAGACTCCAGGTTAGCTCTTAAGGAGTACATTCTGTGCATGCCCTGGCTACTGGTCTGAGCCAATTGCCTCCACCCTATGGGGCCTGTCCTACTATAATGATTGTCATGAATCTCGGAATAAAAGTCATGTTTGTGAAAGATGACCAAGGGGGTTTTCCTGCATCTTCCTTTCCCCGGAGAATTGGCCCTGTGGTGCTCAAAAGTCCCAGGAAAAGTAACTTCACCCCCAACACCACCAAGTCATTAGAAGTGTCTTTGAAGGAACAAGCTCTAAGGTACCTGAAGGGGGAAAATGCAGAACCTGAGTGTGGATTTTGGGTCTTTCTGGATCCAGCAACCTTTTCAGAAGGACCAGTGAGAACACTGGTGTCATCAGCTTGCCTCATTTCCACAGAGGCAAGCATGGGAGCCTGATGAATTCCTGTGGACATGGCTCAGGTTGGATCCCAGAGTGGCTGAGAAGCCACTGGTCCATCCTGCTGTGTTCCTTAATTGTATCATACAAGATGTTCATTCTCCCTGCTGTGACATTTTCCCTTTTTAGATCTATGGGACAGGGCCACCCCTCTATGTCCTATCCAGGCATGTGTCCTTCAACGATGGAGTCAGATCTGGGGCAGAAAGAGGATGTGTGATGGCAAAGAGAAGCATAAATGTTCCCTGTGAGAGGGCAGGCCCTGAGGACACAGACCAGCACCAAGATATGCCCTATCATAGGGACCTCACCTAACAAATACCAAACCCAAACCCTATCATACTTGGCAGATCACCATTGCCTGGAGGGACCCATCTCACAGTCACCAAAGCGCTGGTTCATGTGTACACCTGTCCGCTCGGATGGTAGGCTCTCATAGATTCCTGAGATGCCCTCATAGCATCTTTCCAGTTATCCTGGAAAAAGCTCTTGGCTTCTTTATAATTTTGCCAATCTGTTTAGCAAACACCCCTCTCTAAACTCTACTCTTACATTCCTTTAAATTCAGCCTCATGAACTCTCAGGGAATAGACAGTGTGTGAGTGTGTATGTGTGTATACATGTGCAAGAGAGAATGTGTGAGAGAGAAAATATGTGTACGTGAGTGTGTGTGTGAGAGAGAAAAGTGTATGTGTGAAAGCATGTGTGTTTGTGTGTGTGTGTGTGTGTGTGTGTGTGTGTGTGTGTGTGTGAGAGAGAGAGAGAGAGAGAGAGAGAGAGAGAGAGAGAGAGAGAGAGAGAGGGAGAGACAGAGAGAGAGAGACAGAGAGATTATTCGGTTACACAATATATCACTACACCTGTATGTTGAGCATCATCCTTAACCTCTTCTGCAACTTCTTTGAAAGTCAACTTCTGAGAGTGAATTTAGGTATCATGGTGGCCGGCTTCTTCTGTACCTTCTCCAGGACAGCTTTCTGCCTCTATGGCAAAAATGTATTCTTGACCTTTCCATAAATAGATTGAGTGGGTGTTGGAGAAATACATCACTGTGGATCCTATTTGCCAGTGCCTAGACGATGGATCACCTCTTTTCAAGGAAAACAATTGGGGTACTCCTCAGCCTCCAACAGTTCTCTTATTGGTGACATGTCCTGTGTGTGCGCGTGTGAACGTGTGTGTTTGTGTTTTATAACTCTATCTTATAGTCCAAGTGGTCTGGGAATTGTTTGTTGTTTTGCTCTTTATTTCCAGAGCTGAAACAGAACTACAGAACCACTTTATTAAAGCATTTCCAAACAGCCAGGTCTGGTTGTGCACACCTTTGATCCCAGCACTCAGGAGGCAGAGACAAATGGATCTCTGAGTCTGAGTCCAGCCTGGAACTTACAGAGTAAGTTCCAGGACAGCCAGGGCTACACAGAGAAACCCTGTCTCCAAACCCAACAAAGGGTTGGGAGTGGCATTTCAAAAACAACTTTAAAGACATAACAGAAAAAACCGATGACTTCTATCTTAAAAATCTGCTCCTGATACCTAGGAATACATTACAGGTGACAGAGAATGAATGAAAGATTTTCTCCGCCTAGAGTCGCCACCGATTCCTGTTTGAACAGTGTTTGCATGTGGCCGTCAGCCGATGGCTCCAAGCCAGAGCCTTCAACCACCTTGTCGCGGCCTTGACCACCAAGTCACTCCTGAAGGTGATCCACAACTCCCACCATGGCACAGAGGCTGCCATGGACCTCCAGATCAACCTGGAGCTGTATGCCTCCAATGTCTATCTGTCCATGGCTTGCTACCTTGACCAGGATGGTGTGGCTTTAAAGAACTTTGCCAAATCGTTCCGATCTCATGAGGAGAGGGAACCTGGGAAACTGATGAGGCTACAGTACTGAGGAGGTGGCCAATTTTACTGCAGGACATCAAGACCTGATGACTAGAAGTATGGACTAAACACAATGAAGTATGCAACTGCATGTGGATAAGACTGTGCATCAGTCGTGACTGTAACTTCACAAACCCCCCACTTATGTAACTTTGTGGATGGATACTCATTACATGAATAGGTGAAATCCATCAGAGAACTGGGTGACCACATAACCAACCTGGGCAAGATATGAGCCCCTGAAAAGCACACCCTGAGACACAGTGAAAATAAAAACTAAGAACCATAATCCCCAGAACCACAGGTGACTTCCCTGGTCACGGAAGCAACACATGCATGCCTGGTTACTTTTACCTTTTTTAGAAGTCACATCACAACATCCACGTAAGTTCTTTAGTTTGTACCATTCCTTCAAATAAGGAAATTTAGTTAAAAAAAAAAGGATGGATGGATGGATGGATGGATAGGCCAACTCCACATATCATTCACACTGCAGCACAATTCTTACAGGTTTAAAGGCAATATAATTTCACTTTTAAATTGAGCAGGTGCAAAACTAGGAATCTATTTCTGAAGTTTAAAGCTATGAACTGAAGTCTCCAGGCCCTCAAAAAAAAAAAAGAAAGAAAGAAAAGAAAAAGAAAAAAAGCCACACCTATGTTAAATATCACTCAAGGATGATTGACAAATGAGAACTTCTATGATGGGACTAGAGAAGTAGTTTAGGAAGGGTTACTGCTCTGCAGAGAACCCATCACCCATGTCAGGTGGCTACAACTTCCAGTTCTAGGAGGTCAGGCACTATTTTCTGGACTCCACAATCACCTGCACTCACATCTGCATACCCACCCACTGCCCTCCCCTCACACAAAATTAAAAATGAAATAGTGGAA